TGCCTGAATGTCATGTCCTGGGCCTCCAGCCCTCCCTCCCCTTCCTCCTGTCTTTACTCTTGATGGATTAGGGCAGGCAGCAGAGAGGTGCATTGGGAGTTGTAATTCAGTGTAAGTCCAAATTTAAATCTATCCCCACCCCCCACAATGGGATTGGTTGAAGCTTTTCCATGCATATCATCAACAAGCAATAGAACTTAAGAAAAAGCAAAATTCAATTTCTGACAACTGCCCAGTCCATCTATCTGTCCTTACACAAGTAGGCTGAACAAATTTCCATGAAGCTAAATACCCAGCAGAGCTGCCAGATTTCAGGAAAGACTGGTGATCAATTCAGTCCCAAGAAGCCACTGGAAGACTGTAGTAGACTTGTGTTCTTTTTTAGCCATCCTTTTTCTGAATAGCCTCTCAGCCTCCTTATGGGAATTTTCCTCCTTCCAGTGCATGAAGTCTTGGTCAGACAACATGAAGCTCTGTCCTTGTCCAGCCAAAGCACACCACTAAGCTCGTAATTTCCTTTCTGGTCTTGGGGGAAACCCAGGCCAAGAAGTCACTCCAGATGTGGCCCTGACAATTCATCCCTGTTGCCTGTGTCTCTCAAGAAGCTGCAGCTGCCACCACTTCCCTCATTGAGCCTGGTTCTGCTAGTCTTTTGGTTCTAGAAGTCACTCTTAACCATCTACCACTTTTTTCTTTTTGAAAGCATAAGCCAGGCAGGGTCAGTTCCTGTTACTTGCAATTCAACTGTCACACTGGGGAATTGAACCAGGCAAGCAGGTGACTCTCCTTAGTCTTTATTTAAAAAAAAAAAAGTGTGGTCTCCTCCTAAGTCACCAGGCACATGTACAGGCCCATCCTGTCTTAATGGCAATATCAGAAATCAATGAAGGTTTGGCATAAGGTGGACATTACAAAGCACAGACCTTATTCTGAGACTCAATATTCTATGTGCAGAGGAGAAAACTGGCAGGCTTCACACATTAAGTTATAAGAGGCTGATAGTTGGTTCAGGTGATGTGGAGTAAGGCCACTGGAGGGAGAACCAGCCTAGAGAGTATAACGGACAAGTCTGAGTATCATAACTTCTGAGTGATCTGGGTAGGGCATGGTTCTCTGCTGGCCACCACCAGCCACCGAATCCTACTTCCCTTCCTTATTCGATCCCTTTCCTTCCATCAGCTGCCTGGAACCAGGTTGCAGTTAAGACACCAGATTACCTTTCCTACTTCTTTATATTCCTCCCTTCTCCTATATGATAGCAAGTAGGAAGCACCAGGAGGCGCACACACATTTTCTCCACTCCCCCACTGCAGGAATATATCGGTCAAATTTTGCATTATAAACACATCAAGCAGGGCTGGAACTTGCTTTCCCAGGGGAGAGTGCATACAATTGCCAGTGCTCCTCTGAGCCTCTCAGAAGGCACTGTGGAAACCTCAACACCCAGGAAGCTCTGAGATGTGCTAAGTGCTGCTTCCTACTAACCTAGAGGCACGAATGTGTCAAGTTTCAGAAGAAAGTTGGAAATGGCTTGCCACTCAGATTTTAGTGGTGAACACTTCTACTTCACCTCCCAGAAGGCTGGCTTTCCAGTTGGCACAAGCCAGCCAGGCCCTCCTGGCCTGAGGAAATGGACTAAGGCATGCACAGCCACTAAAGGGCTCCAGTCCTTTTTGGGGGACATGACCCTTTTCACACTCACCTAACTGGCCTCAACACAGATCACTAGAACAATGTGCAGGTAGTATGGACAGCACAAGATACCACAAGAGTCACATGCCCCCAGCCCTACCAGAAAGGTTATCCCCTGCAACCTGTCCAAGCCTCAGTGGCTACTGGAGAATGAAATGCCAGCCGAGGAATATGACAAAAAGCATGGCGGGGGGAGAGACTGCTGTGTGTGTGACTATAGCTAGTCTTTGAAATGTGACTATTCTCACGGCTACTCAAAGGTATGCTCCCCAATTCCCCAAGCTACCTCCCCCACCTTCTTGCCTGTATCACTAGAGCTGGTTCTCCACACAGAAACATTTTTTGTTTCCACAAAAATCTGTAAAATACAAGTGCTAACTTGGGAGAAAGGAGAGCTGCAGATCCCTTCTGCCATCACAGCCACTTCAGTGATTACAGCTGCCCTCAGCTTCCAGAGGGACCTGCTCCATGATTCCAGTGGCGACCTCAATCCAAGGGCACTCCAAGTCCTTTATATAAAACGGTGCAGTGCTTGCACATGACCTGTGCATGTCCTTCTATATACTTTAAATCATCTCTAGATTACTTATAATACCTACTATAATGTAAATGTTATGTAAATAACTGTCATACTACATTGTTTAGAGAATAAAGACATGAAAATACGTGTTCAGTGCAGACCCAGCCATCTGGATCTGAACACAGCTGTTTGAATCTGCAGATGTAGAATCAGTGGATACAGGGGGCAACTGTATATGGTAGTGGGGGGGGTCCCTCCCCCAAGAGTATCTCCTCTTCCCTTGCATTCAGAGCAGGAACCACAACCTACCTATGGTTTTCATTACTTCCTAAAGATTACCGACCTTCAAATTTCTCCCTCTAGTTCAGCCCTAACTTCTTATTTGATACTTTCCCCTGGGTGTTCCACAGCCACCTCAAACACCACCTCACTGCCCTTTCCCCCACAGCCTGGTTCTTTTCCAGCATTTTCTGTTTCAGTGAATGTTTTCAACCTCCATCAATTCAGCAAGCAGATCCAACTTCCTATCAAACACTGCAGATTTCACCTCCTAAATACCTCTCTGGCTCCCCATTTCTTTCCCTATCACAGTCATCTTTCTTGATTCAACTACTATAATCTCATCCTTAGAGATCACCCCAGTTTATCTGGACCTTATTCCACTCTACTCCAGATCATTCTCCAACATAACCAATGGACCTTACCATATGACTTGCAGCTTAAGATCCTTGAATGGCTTCTCACTGCTTCAAAGATAAGGACGAAAATCCTCCAGCTCAGTGTTCCCAGTCTCAGCTTTCCACAGTGGCCTTGCTGCCTAACACCCAGAGGTACACCCCGCCCCCTTCCACCTTGCACCTCTTAGTTCATCTGGCTAACAAATCTGCATCTCTCAGATCTTATTTACTTACTTATTGTTTGGAAGCCTTTATTGAAGCCTCAGTCAAGACCAGGGCCCTGCTGTGGTAACACTTAGCACTGACACTTTCCATCTTGCAACCAGCACTGACCATCACCACTGCGCTTATCGGTTGTGGCTGGAGTCTGCCTCCCCAATCAGACTAAGAGAGGGCAGACACCAAGTCCGAGTCGGTCAGTCTGCTGGGCCTGCGAACTCTAGCCTTTCATTAAGCCCACGCTTACTTAACATACATGTATTGGAAATCTCTCATGCACAAAAAACCATGTGTGTTTTCCCAAATTATGTAGCATACAGGGCTTATGTCAGATCACACTTAAAAGGCATGGAAAATAATAAATTTCTGAGTAGACTTGCAAGGTGGATGAAGTGGGACAAATAGTTAAAATGATGCCAAATGAAACGACCAAGGGGAGGAGAGTGTACAAAAGAGACACTAGGCCTGAGGGTCAGTCAGGCCAACAGGGCACAGGAAAGATCCTAAGGGACAAAGGTGATTGCAAATTGGTAGGTTAGACAACCAGGAAAAGACAGAAAAAAGCAAGGATAGTTGCCCGCTCCACAGTGTCAGTCAGGCCAGCCCCTCCTCCCTTCATCCAAAGAGCTTTATTGAATGTTCCAGTCACCCAGCAGAGAACTGACCCAAGAGGATCCCAGAAATAGAACACAATCTCATACAGCCGCTCCCTGCCTTGCCAAGAACCCCTCCCCACTCTTACTCCTGCCAAATCGCAAGAAATCATCCACCCAGGTGCTGAATTATTCAATTATTCTAGCAGCTTTCCATACACATGTGCAGCTAGAAAATCGTCCAAAAAGAAAAGAATCCTGTTATTTAGGCTACTGGGTCATTTTTTGATCCTCACTGGAATCCTTGCTTACCACATAATTGCTTTCCAATTAAACAGCTCATTGCCACCCCACCCCCAAGCAAAAAGCAGCTGCAGACATGTAGTCACAAGACAATGCGCTGACTCTGCTGTCCCACACAGGTGGCTGCCTCCTGACCCTGCAGCAGCCCAGGCCTGCGCTCCCCGAGACAGGTGTGCTAGCGCGCCTGAAATAAATGCTGAATACAGCAGCAAAAAACTGGAAGAACAGTCTCCAACTATCCACTACCCAACCTGCCTTGTTTTGGTACAGTAACAAATATAAGGCTTCCAACTTCTAGCCTCTATCACAATTTTAAAATCCTGAAATCACCTGTCTGCACTTGGATCTAGAAAGCCCTTTCAAACCCACCCACCCAATGCATGTCAGCTTTATGAGGTATTTTCTCCTAGTAAAACAAACCAAAGGAAGATTTTGGGGGAAAAGAAAAACCAGTCACGAAATAAGTCTGTAAGACTCCAATTTAGCAGGAAGCCCCTCAGGAGGTCTCTATTTCTGGCTCTAAAGAAGCAGAGCATGAAGATGAATAGGGCATAAACTGCAAATATTTGCCAGCAGTGATTTTTTTTTTAACCTCAAGGAAATTATAAAAATTCACAAAGGAGAAGCTGACATTTCTCATTTAATAAAACACAATCTGAGTCACAAAGTCTTGGGCACTGTCCTCTCAACCTCAAATAGGCCTTCCAGAGAGCAAATTACAGCAATAGATATAGGGACATTTCACTGGGAGTAGGTTAAGGCAACCTTGCACATGGTCACTTACTGCACTGAGAATGTGTGTCAGTCAGTCTAGTGATCCCAGCGGTTGGGGGGAGGTGGGGTGTGGCTGCTAGGCCAGGGAGGAGAACACGCGTGGTTGCTCACACGAACTGTTGCCAGAGAGGACCGAGCGCCAGCATCACGCCCACTTTCTCAAAGCCAGGGAAAGGCAAGCTCACGCTCAGCTCTCAGTCCTCCTTCTCCAGCTCTCCTTACCATTTCTCCACCTGTTTAACTCCAACTCCAGATGCTGGATAACATTCTTCAAAGTCTTATTTTTCTCTTTCTCTTTTTCGTATTTCTTCTTCCACTCTTCTGCTGTCAGTTCCAGGTTCACAGAGACTGTGTTCTTGATAGTCTTAGCTCTGGGGTTTTAAAACACAGGAAAAAATTCTGAGTGCAGCAATAAGTGGTAGCAAAATCAAGAATATAATCAAGCCTGGAATTCTTTTTAGGGAAAGTTGTGGGATATGGGAGAGCAGGAAGAATCTGGAACTTCTATATACCACCCTCTAGCTATTTTAACAATGGTACTGCTATTCCTAAGGTTTTAAACTTAACTCTTCCTTTTTTCCTTTACCTTCTGCAAGTCTGAAATTCAATGAATTTTCACTTGAATTGTTTCTCTGTGTCTCCTCTTTCTCTAGTCCCTCTGCTAGCACCTTAGTGTATGTTCTCTGCTCAGACTTATGCTGACAGCCTGTTCAAACAGTCAACCTGTTCCTTTAAGCATCTTGCACAACCATTGCCAGTACCCATTCAATTTGATTAACCCCTCCGGAAAACTGGGGCGATACAAAGACAAATGAGATGAGGTCTCTGACTTCCTAGGGCTTGCAGCTCCTCATACCATCAATATAGACTGCAGTGACAGAATCAAATGCTTCTTTTACAGTCAGAATCCAGAGCTATCCCTGATATGCTGAACACATTGTCTCCTGAGCCAGGATGGCCAAGGCCCCTGCTGAACATATCCTCTCCAACACCCCCACCCCAGCACAGCCAAAAATCAACCATGGAGGAGTGGAGAGTTCTCATATCATCCCATTTTAGGGCTGGTGGCACAACGGGTTAAAGCAGAGCACTATGAAGCTAGCCACAGTCACTTCACGCCAGTTTGACCCCTAGCTGGGGAGGTGACCCACAAGGCACAGCAGACCTCTTCTGACCCGCCCGCTGCTCCCCTCAGCAGTGTACTTCGTCGATCTGCCTATTCTGCTCCCCACTCTGTCTCTGGTGAATCCTTTCACCATCCCTGTACCTCTGGCCTATAACCCAGTTCTGTATGCATAAATAAATAAATCTTTTTTTAAAAAAAAAAATCAACCCATTTTTTTCAAGAATATCAGAAATTGAGGTTTTCATTGGTATCCCTCATTAAAAAAATTTTTTTTCAAACTGTGTTGAATAAACACATCTGAAAGCTACCATCTTGCCACTTCTAAAATAAGAGGTGAAGTATATGGGCCAGAGTAGGAGTAGGGGGTGATGCCAGAGTGGGTGTTTGAACAGTAATTCAAAGGAGCAAAGGCAATGGCAGCACTAGCTAACACAAAAGGAGTTACCTCCTCGGGAATAGAAATGGAACATAGAAGTAGACTTGTCCAATGAAAAGGTAACTGACCATAGTCAAAGTCCACTCCTAACTGGGTTTTACAGAAGATAAAAACATCATTTTAAAAATATGCAGTATTTTTTATCGGATGGTTTCACTCATAGCAAGAGTATAATGGACCAGGCGAGAAAATAACAAAAATAATGAACAACCATATACCAGAGACATTTTGTGGGGGTGGAGTGGGGAATGGGATCAAAAACGGGAGGGGGGGTAGGGAGGGAAGTGCACGGGATTATGGTGATGGCACACGGGTGACTTGGTGACAGGGATTACAATTGAGATGGGAAAAAAAATGTACAAAATGATGTAAAAATAAACTGTTGTAAAAAAAATGCAGTATTTTTCTTTATTTGCTACTGACCATTTGTCATAAACTCCTACCAGGCCTTGTACTGCCATATTTACAGGCACTATCTGATGGGTGCTTTAGGGTCATTACTGCTGTCATCAAATGATTATTTTGAACAGGATTCCTATGTTAGTGGAAGAAAAATCAGCAGTTCTCACCAGCATTATGAATGTCATTCTAAAAACTAACCCCTAAAGCAGACAACTAAAAACTCAACTGTCATAAAAGGAGTTGAAAGATTTCTGTACAGACTCCACTTAGCATAATTCTCCCTCATTCACTATAGCTTGAGGCTGCTGTCCCCACAAGTGTTTTGGCTCTAATTTTTCAAGCATCAACGATTTTATTTCTCCTTTAAAGTCTACACCAGCTTCACGTCCTCACTCTTCTTTCGAGTACCCTCGGGCGATGTCATGCACAAGAACTGCAGCATCTATGATCACGGAGCAAGTCAGACAGCGAAAAGTAGCCTTAGGGCCAAATGCTTGGGGACAGGTAAGCCTACACTTTGAGTCTCCTAATGTCACTTTTTAAATCATAAACAGTCCTTTCATGATTTCCAGTGCTACAAGGAAAAGAGAGGGCCTCTGTGATATATACTCGGGCACCTTCAGCTAGAATGTACCTTTGTGAGAAGACTCAGCAAGGTTCTCACTAGTATAACTGGTCTTCTCAAAGTTCTCTCAAGCTGTTCAGGTAACCCTTTTTCTTCCACTTATACGGTAATCAGGGTCCTGGCAGGAAATTTGCATAATTTGGGAAGAGGTTAACAAAGGAATAGATGTCTACTGGCAAGTCCGGGGCCACGGTATACCCCATACTAGACAGCCATTACCACCCTCAGGCCGAGACCCTGGAGGAAAGGGAGCTTTAAAAAGAGTGTCCAAAATATGGCAGACCTCTCATGGCCCGCCCACTGCTCCCCTCAGCAGTGTACTTCGTTGATCTGCCTGTTCTGCTCCCCACTCTGTCTCTGGTGAAGCCTCTCGCCGCACCTGAGCCTCTGGCCTATAACCCAGTTCTGTATGCACAAATAAATAAATTAAAAAAAAAAAAAGAGTGTCCAAAAACCCTGATTCAAAAAGACACCTGCACCCCTATGTTTATTGCTGTTTTATTTACAATTGGAAAGACATGTAAACAACTCAAATGCCCAAAAGTAGATGACTGAATTAAAAAGATGTGGTACTTATACACAACAGAATATTATTCAGCAATCAAAAAAAAATGCCTGCTATTTTCAGCAGAGAAGATCATGCTTAGTGAAATAAGCCAGAAAGAAAAGGAAAAATACCAGATGGTTTCACTTATAGCAGGAGTATAAAGGACCAGGGGAGAAAATAATAATAATAATGAACAATAATATATCAGAGATATTTTATGGAGGTGGAATGGAGAATGGGATCAAAAATGGTAGGGGGAGGGAAGTGCACTGGACTATGGTGATGGCACACGAGTGATGGGAGGCGCACTGGGGTTACAAGTGAGATGGAAAAAGTCACAAAATGATGTAAAAATAAACCATTATATTGTGAAAGAAAAAAAGAAGGGTGTCCACCTTAACGGCTGTTAATGATGTTAACAGCCGTTAACATCATTCTTTAGCCCAGAGATGTAGCTGACCCAAAGGAGCCCCAAAAATCTAACCCCCTGACCTCACTCTCTTTTCTCCTTCTGATCACTTATTCATGGTCCTTCCCTACCAATCAAACCTAACCAGAAGCTGGAGGCAATGGGACCCACTGGGGTCTTCTAAGCTGGTTACTCATCAGGGCACAGAGCAGAGACAGCACAGAAAGGATCCAGAAGAGCAAGGGGAAGATCTGAGACCCAGGTCACATTTGGCACTGGGAACAATGGTGGAAACCATGTCTCATCGCATCACCCTAGATTTTATTCCATTGGAAAGCAGGCAAAGCAGCTTGCCTCTCCATCCACTAAAGGTGGAGAATATGAAGAAACCACTTAATGTTGATAGCGAAAGATGTTCGTTCTCTCCAACTTGTTCTACAGATTTAAAACAATATCAAAACCCCAAAGTTTGCAAGCAGGTATAGAAATTAACAAGCTCATTCTAAAATGTATAAAAGAAATAAAAAGGGCCAAGAATAAAAAAGACAGTTTTAAATAACAAAGATAGAAGATAATCTTATACCCCTGAAACAGACACTTATTTAACCAGTTATCTCAACTATAAAAAAAGAATCAACACTAAATATAGCATCACAGTAATTAAAGCTATTTAGACAGTCCACAAATGTTGGAATAGAAGAGAATAAATTGTCCTGCAACACTTCATCATATAGCCATCTGATTTATGACTAAGGTGCCCTCAGAGTATAGTAGGAAAAAAGATCCTTTCAATACATGGTACCAAGGGGGTAACCATTATCTACTCCCCCAATACCTTATAAAATATTCTATTCCAAATGAGTTGCACATACAGATGTAAAAGGTGGGCCTCCCTGAGTATGCGAGGGGTTAAATTTCAGCATTAAGAAGCTGTCAGTAGCCACTGCAGCAAGAGTTCAATCCCAGCCAGGGAGCTGATATTCAGAACTCTCCTGTCTCCTCTTCTGTCAATCTGCCTATACTGTTCCCCACTCTATCTCTAGTGAGTCCTCTCACTGACCCTTGCCATCTCTTGCCAATACCTCTGCTCTAATATGCATAAATAAATAAGTCCTATTAAAAAAGATTACGACAACCAATGTCATAGTAACTTCTTTATGATAGCTCCCTAGTTAAAATGATCCAAATATTCATTACAAAACAATGGTTGATTAAGTGCCATATTTATACAACAGAACATTATATAACCATAAACAATAAAGTACTACTACATCTAACAAAGCAGATAAATTTCAAAGACACAATGTTCCATAAATGGAACCAAATATAACTACTCCTGTATGATTTTACTTCATGGCAATAATAATTTATATTGCTAAGTCAGGCTGATACCCTCGAGAGTTGGTTATTGATTGGCAGGATATAAAAAAAAGGTTTCTAAGATGCTAGGTAGTTATTTTTACATCTACACACACAGAGTTATACGTGTGTGTGTGTGTATACATACACATATACACAATTGTAAGAATTTGCTGTTGCACACTTAAAGGTAGGCACTTCACAACATGTAATATTCAAGAAAAATAAAGTGACACAGAAAGAAATCAAGTCAGAGACAAGTAGTAACTATATATATTTTAGATCATGAAATAAACTAGAGCTACTAAGATTGAATTTCTGAGCCACAGAGCTTTCTTTTCAATATATCAAAGATAATCCTAACTAGGATCCTTAAATTAACCATGCAAAGTGAAATAGTCTTCCAGTCCTTCATTTCCCTAAGAAAACTACAATAAAATGATATGGGCACCTTTGGTCCTTTACTT